TGAAGCCGGCCCCAGGGGGCGGGACATCTCCAATTAAATCGCAGGTTTAATTAAATCGGTCGCAAGTCGCCAGTCGCAGCGACAGTCGCGCTGCACTTGACAACCGCACTAATGACTTGAACTTTTGTTTCCTTTAGAGCAACACAACTCCTTTACTGTAAAAAAAAACTATACTTTTTTAGCTTTTGTTTTCTCTCTTGTTTAGTTTTTAACTTGAAACGAGTTAAATTTGCAAAGAAGAATTCTAGAACACGGTTTTCTTAATAAATATGCAAATTTAAACAACTTCTTACGAAAAGACAAAAACCTTTTTTTTTTTCTTTTGTCAGGGGAAAATCATCCAATGACTTCTCCCGCCCAGGGCCAGGCGGGAGGGAGTGTCAGACTCTTACTGACTAAAAACCCCCCCGTTCCTTCTCCTGCTCTGGGCCGAGGTCGCGGTGCCTCATTGCGCTTACCCCGCAGCCCCGGCTAAAAAGAAAAAAAAAACCTAACATTTATAAATACATATCTACAGCACCAGAGTCAAAAAAGTCCTGCTAGGTAATGCTATCAACGCAAAAGTTGATAAATATGGATAAACGTTTTTAACTTTGACGTGTAAAAATGTCGTTTTATGGCCTATTTTCAAAAACCTTCATGGTTTCATTGTTTACACTTTCAGGTAAAACTACTGAAAAGATTTTGATAAAAGACATAGATAAATTATATTAATTCTAATAAGTATACTTGTGATGGTCACTGGAGCATCTTGAAACCACGTTTGTGGGTTGATAAAGTAACATTAAAATAAAACAGCCTCGTTATTAGTTGATGATGAAGAAGAAAAGGAAGGTCTGAGGATGAAACCCTTAAAATGAATTAAAAACCATAAAGATTTAAACCTAAATCTAAATAAATCATCAACGTACTTAGATAATCGACTGCACGGTTGGTGCATTAGCTGGGCAACTGGATGCCGTGCAACGTGTAGCGGGTTCGATTCCCCCACGGAACAACTCTTTGTGTGATCACAAATTGTTGTTCTGGGTCTGGGAGTCATGTGTGTGAAATTGTATTTTTATAACCACATCCACGATACAGAAGAAGACCCTAGACCGGGAATGGTCATTTTTTTTAATTAAGAATAATTTATAATAAAAATGTCACATTGGTACTTGCCGGGTTTGGTCCCTGTCAGTCTGGGCCACCATGACATTAATTCTGCAAAACTTCAAACCACTATACACCGGTGAAAAGAAATATTTTTTCCAGGTTACGTATTAGTAAACCTTTTCCAAGCTCTTATGGCTTTAAGCATAAACGACTAATGAGGCTAAATGTTGCCGCAGCAGGTCAACTACTCGCGAACTTATTTTAGCTCCAATTCAAAAATTATGAAACCTTTCTAAAGAAATATGGTATTTTACGCGTATTCATCATCGTAAACATTTCATCAGATTTCCTATCGTGTAAACAGAAAGGTAGATATTTTAACACACGGTTAGTTATTTTAACTTCTCGCTACTGTCCAACACAATAACAAACTAAGCCGTCCCGGGAATACAACCCTCGACACACTAACAACTTTTAACCACTCGATCGCAAACCAGATTTAGTCTTTTTTCAACAAAAAAAAAGTCTAAAAGATTTAATCAAGTAACTTAATGACTTTTCAAACAAATTCTTGGTAAAAGTGTTCCATCTTTTAGTTTGTAGCAATTAGAGAAAACTCCTCGTTGGTAATGAGCTCGCCCTCCGGTAGTTACTTGCGATTCCGCGTCCGATCTCAGATCATAAAGTTTCGCTATAAAACTGATTTACTACTGAATCGCTCCACTTCACGAATTCTATATTATTATATAAATATATCTGAACCTTATGACCTTTTGGAAACTAGTTTATAGTTAGAGGGCAAATAATATTAGAAGGAAGAAACCGATTGAGTTTAGACCAATTTTTAAATTTTTCAACATGTCATGAAAAGTTAACTACATACTACAGCGTTGCTTTTTTGTGAGAGGAAATCATCAAGTTACTTCTTCCGTCTCAGTGTCAGACTCTTACTGACTAAAAACCCGTTCCTTCTCCTGCTCTAGGCCGAGGTCCCGGTGCCTCATTGCGCTTATCCCGCAACCCCGGCTGAACAATGCTTAAGCTGTGCGCGGTTCTGTTTAACTTATCCAAATTCCTGATTAAATCCTTGTCTAATTAAATAAATGAAAGACTATGAATTTGATTTGGTGTTTCTTCTTCATATTAGTCATCTTATATCATGTTATTTATTTATTTATTTATTTACTTCATGCACAATTTATTTGTACATAAGGCGGACTTAATGCATTGAGCATTCTCTACCAGTCGACCTTATGAGTTAAGACAGTTCGAATGTTATCTATGAATTGACGAGTCAAATGTTATCTTGTGGCCTAATTACCCAAAATACTATCATTTTATTTTACAGAATAAATCCAACAATATTTTTACTGCCTCGGGACTTTAACCTGATACCTCCTCCTTGATAATCGCTTACGAAAATGTTGAAGAGTCATGCTTCGGCACGAATTGAAATCGGCTCCACCGGAGTGATACCACGGCCTCACAGAAAACAACCACAGCGTTGTGTTTCACCGTGTGAGTGAGATCATCGAAGACGCAATCATTCCCCTCCCTCAATCCCTTCCCATTCCCTAAATCTCCAAATCCCTAATCCCTAAAAAGTCGGCAACGCACTCGTAACTCCTCTGATGTTGTGACTGTCATTATGTACATAGAAATAGATGAAATATAAATAATGTAGTCATAAATAACTCGGTGTAGGCTGTAAGGCAACTGGCAACAATTTCGAACTGGCCTCGTCCCAACCACTCCGCGGCATTAAAATTTACAATCTTAGTAAAAACTTTGCCGAGTTACAGCTGAAATGCGACAAAACATTTTTTGTTTTGTATTCCTCTTGTTTTTGTTACTCCTGAGTATAGATGCTAGCGATAGATGTATCTAATTTTATTTTTTATTTTTATTTTATTTATTTATCAGAAAACAAACGGTCACACAGTTTTCTTCTATATTTTTATAAACAGAACTACATACTGTATAGTTTCTTTAATGTAACTGTGTAAATATGAAGCATGGACAGCTTTAAATTAATAACAAAAGAAAAATTATACTAGTATTGAAGAAGGTGAAAACATGGAGTAAGTTTAAGTTAAAATTATTTTTAATTGAATTATTGTGCAACAGAATATATCAATATCACACAATCTGTGTTATCTATACTAATTATACTAATATTATAAAGAGATAAAATTTGTTAGTTTGTATGAAGCGGCTATATCTTTGGAACCGCCGGTCGGATCACCAAAATTCATTCACTGATAGATATGTAGCTACAATGTTCCCGAGTGCTGTAGGCACGATCGAAACGAAATATCACGTTATGATCAAATAGAGCCGAGCAGCGAGTGAAACTGCGCGAGAGAAGTAAGAATTATTAAATTTAATAAGTTAACTAAAATTCGCGGGTTACTCACGTGTAAATATTGAGAAAAGCTCTACTAGTTTCGAACCACAGAGGGGTTCTTCCTCATGAGCAGCGTGCGCGGGCGCGACTATTGCTTAACATCAGTTGATCCATCTGCTTGTTTTCCGATACCGGCATAATATTGAATGGTTGTTTCTTTAATAACAATGACTATTCCAACTGATTTCCAGTGAAAACTGCCACAGACTTCGTGGTTAGCGTAGAAAAATTTGCTCAACCTAAAATAAAATAAGCCATGTTAAATTTTCAACTTTTAGGTTCATCACCAGCTTAAAATTTTCGAAGAATTAATCACCATCTGCCCCCAATCCTCCAGCCGCTAAAATTTAAATAAAACAAAAAGTACAACGGGGCCTACATATCTGCGTTTTAATTGTGACCCAACAATAAAGCGCTTTCAGCGCTTAAAACGTAATCCAGCGCTCGATTGATTGCTATTTAATCAAACCAATATCCGATAAACCGCTTTTTTATGCGACAATAAAGTATTATAGGCTTTGAAACGTTAATTAAGATTTTAAAGTCTTTTCTTTGGAGTTATTTAAATAAATGTAGGTTATTTAGTTCCGTTTAATTTAATGGAAGATAACATTTTGAATACCAAGCTGTACTTTAGTGTTTTACTGAAAAAACATCTAAGTATTCACTTATAAATAAATAAAAAATAAACATAAAATCATTTTATTTCAGATGTTAGTCCATAATTATTTTCAAATTCATTACATTATTATATACGCGCGCGAGCTTTTCTCAATATATACACGTGAGTAACCCGCGATTTTTAGTTAATTATTATATTATGATTACATTATAAATTGTTATCATTATTACATAATATTTATGCTATTAATTTATTATATTATGTAATTGTGTGTAACCAATGTAATTGTGGTATCTAGTAAAAAAAATGTTATTACACGTATTATGTTGCAAAATATACATTTAACTTAAATATTTGCCTCGAGCCCGATGCCCCAGAAGTAGCAGCTTATGACTTCTATGCCTTCGGTATTGAGTTTACACCTGCAAGCATATATTGTATACCTTGTGCGCATAAATATTTTTTCATATTAAAACGTTGCCCCATACAAGGATTTTCTCCTGTGTCGTGGTTGCGTTTATAAACATACAAATTCACATACACATCACACCCAGATCCGGAACAACAATTTGTGGAACACACAAAGTGTTATTCCTTGCAGGAATCGAACCCATGACACGTTGCACAGCAGTCAGTCGCCCAGCCCTGTACTATTTCAGGTTTTTAAATGCAATATCGTCACGATTGACATGAAGACATTCATGACGTACGGCGCTCTGATTGGCAGGCTCTAAATAACCAACCAATCAGAGAGCTAAACACTTAAATCAATTAGTACCTCGGTACGTCAATAAAACAATATGTCTAGACCTAGCTACCTGCAATATATAATGTACTAGGCACAGCTAATTAACCCTATTGTTTGTATTGTTACAGTTGAACGCGTAGAGCAGTAACCGGCAAGATGGCGGCGTTCGTTGCAAAGCAGATGGTTGGAAACAAACTCAGTGCTGTCAAAGGTAGGTGTTTCGCCAAATTAGTACTAATTGAATCAACACCAAGGTCGTATTTTCTATTGTATTCCCGAAATTCTTCTTTACCTTAAGCAAAACTATTGCTATAAATATTTGATTCAAACGAGTAAGAAAATACGTAGGTATTTAAATAAGTAAAAAAACTAATTATCTTCCAAACTTTCCGGTTCGCACTGCAGAGCAAATATCTCTTCTCACACGAAGAAGGATTGAGCATTTATCACCACGCTTGTTTAAGGCGGATTAGCGTTTTCAAACCTTACCTATAGGTAATTTCTTATTACTAATTAGAAATTATAAATCCAGGTTTCCTCGCAACGCTTTCCTTCGCCGTATGTGGTGTCTAAAATGAACTTAGAAAGTAGGTACATAGGTCTCGAAAAAAGTCACATTGGTACTTGCCAGTTTTCGAAGCTTAATAAAGCGAAAGCAAATATTAAATCTTGAATAACCTAAAGAGTTTAATAACACTTTCTCATCCACCCCATACCTATTTGAAATCCAATTTTAAAATCTTCGTTCACCATTAAAAAGCTTAAAGTAAAAACTGGAAGTGTGCCGTTCTATCGGGACAAGTTGTAACAAGTTGGCGAACGTGCTCGTCATATTATTTAGCCAATACAAGAGTCGCCGTGTTATGATCCGAGATCCGACGTCAGGTCCCCTCACTGTATAGGTAGGTACTGCTGATCTAGCAAAAGTTACGATTGATAAGGATATAGAGAGGAAACGGGAGCGTTTGTATTCGTGAAGAGATGATCTCGCGGTTTTGCGTATTTGCTTGTGAGATGCGGTGTGGAAATTGTGCATGGTAGGCAAAATATAGCTATTATGTTATACGGGAAGAGGTTTGTTTTGGAAAATGTTTTTGCAAGTGAAGCGTACACAATTGTAGGCTGCACGGTTAGTAAGGTGACTGGCTGCCGCACATCGGGTCGCGGTTTCGATTCCCGTCCGGAACAACTCTTTGTGTGATTCACAAATTGTTGTTGCGGGTCTGGATGTAATGTGTTTGTTAATTTATATGTTTTTAAACGCAGCCACGACACAGGAGAAAATACTAGTACGGGGCAAGGTTTTTTTTAAAAAAAAAAACAAGTTGGAAGTATGGATGGTCTATATTATTATATAATGTCTAATATGTTTTTATAATAACTATCGTGAGACATACTAAATTAACTAAAATTCGCGGGTTACTCACGTGTGAATGTTGAGAAAAGCTCTACTAGTTTCGAACCACAGAGGGGTTCTTCCTCATGAGCAGCGTGCGCGGACGCGGCGACGTCGCGCAGCCTAGCCTCTGTGGTTCGAAACTAGTAGAGCTTTTCTCAACATTTACACGTGAGTAACCCGCGAATTTTAGTTAATTTAATGTCTAATACCTCATTTTTATATGTGGTCATAAAGGTTATACATGATTGTACATGTGGTGGTGTCTATGGTGCATGAGGTAAATTTTTCTTCAAGCTAAAGGCATTCTTACATTCAACTAGCGGCCCGCCCCCGCTTCGCACGGGTTCTACTATCTCGCTATCAAAGGGTCACTTTTTCATAATCTTCCCCTCTTCTTTTCTAATATTTTCTTTGATAAGAACCTTCTCCTGACAATTACAAACACAACAAAAAAAGAATTAGCAAGATTGGTCCAGGCGTTGTTGAGTTATGCGCTTACAACGCATTTTGCGATCCATTTTTATATATAAGATTACAACATTTCTAGATGTTGGATAGGGAATTACTTTCAGTGTTTACGAATAGACTTACATACTGATCATTAACACTAAGGACTGTGATAAGGCTGGTTCTGTAACGTCGTATTGATTATAAAGTAAGAAGTATATTTCTGATTGTGTCTCTAAATAGACTTGTACCACATTGCACATCGAATCTCGGGATCTGGAAACTCAATAATACTTTTGTCCGATCTGAAATCCCCGCTCCGATTTTCTTATCGAGTACAAATATTATTAGATTTAAATGAAGCTCATTCGCAGCCATAAACCTGACCAACCACCAGCTTTTTGAATCTATAGGTATATTAATATTATAAAGAGGTAAAATTTTTAAGTTTGTATATAGGGGTAATCTTTGGAACCGCTGGTCGGATTGCCAAAATTCTTTCACTGATAGATAGCTACAATGTTCCTGTATGCTATAAAACATCACGCTACGATCAAATGGAGCCGAGCAGCGGGTGAAACCACCTGAGAGTAGCTAGTTACTTACTAAATTAAATTATACTTATATATTCTGAATACATAATATACATATATACTCTTGAAAATCTATGTATCCTGTCTCCTCTATCAAAGATCAAATTCAGTGGTAATGTACCCACAGATCCATTCAATGTCTTTACATTAGTATAACAAGCTCCCGTGAAAGAGGAGTGCCTATAAAGGAGGTCTCGGGGGAAATGAAACGATACTCCGCCGGAGTGACAGACACTCACAGACAGTGTATGGATGCTGACAGAACTAGATACTGGCAGATGTGGAGGTAGATAATGATCTGGTCTTTGTGCATTGATAGTACGAATAGCGGTTGCTGAGCCGATTAAGCTCAATATTCAAAATCAGAATATTGCTGATAGTAGAAAAAAAATATTATTTTTCTACTCAAACTATGGAAAATCTGTCGTCAGATAGGATCCGGGTACGTCTTAGAGAGAGAGAGAAAGAGAGAGAGAGAGAGAGAGAGAGAGAGAGACTATTTATTTATTAGCCAATACCAACATCATACATATTAAAAACTATATACTAGTAGGTAATAAATATAACAACGATGGAATAAGAACTAGTAGAGTTTTTCTCAATTAATTCAAGCGAGTAATTCATTATTTTCAACTAAGTAATTCTTTTTTATTGTATTAGTTAGTTGTGACAAGAAACATTTCTTATGAAAGAAAATTTTAGGAAACTAGACGGTTATATTAGGAAATAGCGACTCTTATTGACATTGGCGAGCCAGTTGAACATTTTGCCAATAACAAAAGTAAAGCAGCAAAGGCGAGGCACTAGTTTATTATCTATAATAATAAGACATGAATTTAGCTTAATCATGTTATAAGTACGTAGGTTATAGGTATATTGAATAACAAAGGCTTCTCATTGCGATATCCAAGACTCAATGGCATGTTTAATAAGGACATTCTCAGAAGTACATGAATAACACTTTGTAATTTGCTGATTATTAAATAAAAAGGCATTGATGTTTTTCCTAAAAGTGAGTGTACGTTTTATATATATAAGTAGATTGATTGTTTGACTTTTACTTAAATAAGTGACTTTTTAGTCAACCCAACTTCAATATATAAAAGGTCGGCAAACGAGCAGGCGGATTACCTGATGGTAAGCAATCAGCGCCGCCTATAGACACCCGCAACGGGGGAGTTACGAGTGCGTTGCCAACCTTTTAGGGAGATTAGGGTTTCGGAGATTTAGGGATTGGGGAGGGATCGGGGGAGGGTAAGGATTGGGCCTCGGTTACCTCACTCAGACGGCGAAACACAACGCTGTGGTTGTTTCACGCCGGTTTTCTGTGAGGCCGTGGTATCACTCCGGTCGAGCCGACCCATTTGGCCGAAGCATGGCTCTCCCACACTTAAAATTCTGTAAGAATTATAGGCATCCAAACACATATTTATTATACACATATTTCAAATACGTGTTTATACCTTGTTAGTTACTCAGGTATGATAAAGGTGTAGGTAAAAAGAATGGACGATATAGATACACATAATGGAAGTCTTGATAAATAAATATCGAATACAATTACAAGTTACCTTTTTAAATCCCACATCAAAAACTAAAGAAGTTTATCATCATCAGAATATTTTATTATTGTTTTTAGTCAAAGTGCTCGTTATAAGCATAGTCAATAACTCTATTTAAATCTCACAAAGAAGATGAACTTCTTATGTGTATGATTTGTACTTTCCATCAAATCTTTTTGGGGAAAAATAAAACAATAAATATATCTCATTTAATAATATTATATTGAACTAATAAATTCGTTAATACATTCAGTAAATTCATTTAATGGCACATTACATTTATTTCTAAATAATAATAATCTACACTATCTACTTAAACCTACTTACAACATAAACCTTATTCAATACAACAACAGTAAAACAAAATGTTACCAGTTATATCAACGATATGTATTTCCTTAAATTACTGGAAGATCAATGATTTACTAAAACTAATCGAGCGATTAATATAAATCAGTCTCATATTCCTTGCGTGTACTAAAGCTTATGAGACAGAAGGTCTCGATACTCAAGGTACCATAAAACCGCACTAACTTAAACTATGTACCGTAATATGAATACTGGACAGCCCTCACTGGCTTCAGGGTATTTCATTAATTACTGTGACCCTTATCAAAATATCGGTTAACCAATAAACCGCGTAAATATTTAACATACACCGCCCACTAACTATACACTGGATTGCCAATATACGTTAAACAAAAGCCTCTAATTTTAAATTCAACTGCCAAAATCCATAGAATACTCCTTGTTGTGGAAGAGACTGATTAAAACTTTCTTTCTCATTCCCCCGCGTGTGTCGGGGCTGTAGCCGTCCTTGTCGCACTCCTTCACATACGCTCTTTTGATCCTCTCAGTGTTATCGGGTATGAGTATTTGTTTTCGCTTTTTCGCCTTTCTGGTCCGGTCCGCGTTCCAAGTGAATGTGGGTTCGTTAGGGCTCTCAGCCATCGGTGAATGGAATAGCTTTTTGCTGATTGGTTGCCCGCTCGGTTTTCTTATTGGTGAATCTGTCTCCATCTGGGAAAGGATAGTTTTTCGGTCACAATTTATGTTGTTAGTAATTTTTTAGATCGTGATAGATGTTGGGAGATTGTGTCCATTGAGAGTTTATACACTGCTCGATATTTATGTACACGCTTTGTCTTCTAGTTCAGGAGTGATATATCTCTAACCAATACAGTACGTAGAACATCGACAGGCACGTATA